TGGGAAACCTGGCTTGGCCCCTGGCCAGGCAGGACTTTGCAGCTCCTCTCAGATGAGGTGCTCAGCGCAACTCCTGTACGGCTTCTGGTCCATGTAGGTGGGTTCCTCTTAGTCAGTCCAGCGGAACCTTTGGACCATGCCAAAGGTATTAAAGAAAACGTGTGGTTTTATCATCCTTAGGTCCTTAGTTTGAAATATGTAGTATTTGAAATATAGGGAGTTTCTGTCTTTTGAATAGTATATGTTTCATAGAAAGCAATAATGTAAAGCATATTTCCAGTGTTTTCTGAAGGAGAAACATTAATCAGTTGACAAATGGAAGTCTGTTGTCAGCTTAAGCTGGGATGTGGATGCAGGCAGATGAGATAGAGGCTTGACTGGAAAAAACAGACAGAATGCAAACTAGCTTTGCAGTGTCTTAGATTTCTCCAGGTAGGCCAGTCTCCTCTTAAGGAGACCAAAAAAAAAAAAAAAAAAGGGGGGGGGGGGGAACTGAAAGAAATAATGTTAAAGCCATCTTTGACACAGGATGAATGGCAATTCAAACCAAACCAGAAATTATTATGTTAGTTCTGGAAGGGAATTTATTTTCCCCAGGAGAGTGACTCTGACCAAACCTGAGCCATCAATAATCCCTGTAATTAGTCTATACCTATTTCATAGTGTAGGTTGAAAAATTATATAGAACATTCTGAAAATAGCAGGACCGCAGTATGGCTTGAACTCCATAACGGAGGTCTTGGTCCAGAACAGAAAATTGTTGGTGGTATATTAGTGTCATCTTTTGTTCAAATAAAATTATTGCTGTCACATTTCTGTGACTGATAGATTTCTTCTCTAAGGGTGGTCTTGGTAGAGGGCGTGTGGAACAGAAAGGATACTCTTGTCTTCTAGAAATTTCGTCTTCACCATTTGCAAAATAGCCTAATAAGGAGAAAAGTATTTTTTCTTTGAAGGTGGCAAATAATGGTATGTTCCCTCAGAACATTCCCTCTCGTCCCTGTTTCTGCTCTCAAGCCCTGCATTTTCCTTTACATCTGTGCTTGTATATTCGCATCAGTATTGACCTGAGATTCAGCTTAGCTCAGCTGCCGAAAGTGATTTGCCACTTAACTGCCATGTCCTCATAAGGCACAGCAGAGCTGGTCCATAGTAGCCACTTTAGACATATTGTAAATTGCGCATGAAGATTTATTTTTCCGTTTGTAGCAACACGTTTTGTTTGAGGAGGTGGATTAGGAAAGTTTTAAAAAGTTTTACTTGGATTACTTTTTTTCTTTTAGAGAATCACACAAGAGAATTATTTAAAAAGCCATTACAACATTGAAGCTGAGTGACATTATGACCTAAAATATTCAGGTTTGTATTTGATAGCTTGCTATTATTTTGTACTGTCAGGGATTTCTCTATAGTTGCAGTTTAAGAATGTGTTATCCATATCTGACTAAACCAACAATCCATTAGCTATTGCTGTCCTAACTATTGATATGTTATTTGTATCATTAAATAAATAATTGATAACAGGTGGCACAGTAGTGATTCTACTTATGTCAAGTCATGGGGCTTTACTAACATCCATATGTTCTTTGAAAATGTTATTAATTATAAAGAATTAAAAAATATTTTTCAATTTTTTTCTTTCATATACTTTACTGTTTTGTCATCTGTTGGTTTTATTCAGTGGAGGAAGCATGAGTGCTCTAGCTGTTTCTCTGACAGTTTCTAATTGAGGATCATTATAGTAGCCTATATCCCATACTCTCAAGCTAATACTCCAGCTATTTCTAAAGATCTGTTCTGTAGAGGTGCTCTGAATTTTGTCCTAAATAAAAATGATAAAAAAGACATAATTGTTGCTCTTGTTATCACAATTGAACAAACGTAATTTTTAATGAAACAAAAACCAAAATCTGTTTTGAAGATAAGTTTTGTTGAAAACTGGAAGTGAGAGGACTCCTTTGATGGGAGAAATGCTCTTTAAGGCAGTGAGATGTTGTTCAGGGCTCCCTTTTTTAGGGGTGCTCTCTGTGCCGGTCTTTTCTGCAATACAAAGAGTAACCTCCAGTCTGGTGACGGTCAGACAGGTGACAAATCATGGCAGCCACAGAAGTATATTAGCCATATATTTGGTCTGTTGGTTTCATCTTTGAGAAGGCAGCGATATATTCTTGAGCAGTATCCCACTGGTGCTAACTGATTTGGAAACCTACTCACATTTCACTACATTTTCTTGTACCTGAGTTGCGTAACCCTGGCCAGGATTTCGATTTGCTCCCTGAAACATTTAGTGAGAGCCCTGAAGCCTAAAAGTATTAGCTGGAGACAGGCATTGGAAGGGGATTTGCCAGTGGGATTCAGGGATAATCTAGGCTTAGCAAAGGTGTAGGAATGAAGAGGGCCATTGGCAGCTCTCTTTTGACTGATTCAGGAAGGTGAGACTGCATTAGTTCAGACTTGCAGTTATTTGTCTACACACTAAAAACCTAAATACTTTAAAAGACTCTCATAATTCTTCAAAATGTGGTTGCTCAGCCCTTTAAGACACAACGTGAATTTTTTTCCAGTGGATGGATACGTGAAATTATCAGGCCTCTGCTGCAGAGAATAGAAAACTTTTGTCAGCATTATGCTAATATAAATAGTTTCTTATGACTGTATTTTTTTTTCTACAGGAAATTTGAAGATGGTCAGGCCTATTAGATTCCTAGAAGATGCAGGTAATTGTTTTATATTTAAAAAAAAAAATAATACCATTCCCTATGTGTTTTCCTGCACTTTGCTAATGTTTCTTCAAGCCCAGTTTAGTTTTTCCACTGTATGAATTAAAAATATTCCTGTATCTCTAATATTGGGTTTTTTCACCTTCTTTCTCACTATGGTAAAATCACGGCTGTCTTTATAATTCTCACCGTTGCGTCCAGAAAATATCCTGTGTTTGGATAATGTGGAAGAAGGAAATATTAGTGTTCTTCAAATTCAAGTGCTGTATTTGCCTATGAAAATCATACCTCTGATCATTTCTTCTTTATAATAGAACTGTGGAAAGATAGTGCACTTAAGCATAAACAGTACATGTATAGCTGGATGGAAATTTTGACATGGAAATCTAAAATGCTAAAGGCACATAAACACAGTCATAGCTCATTCCTTTAATACGTGTTTTACCTCTAGTAAGACATTCTCACTAAAATTTAATATAGAGATTGGAAGATGGAGATGTAGAAAGGTATCAGCAGTGTTGCATTCAGAATGCTTATTTGATGTCTTTTTTTTTTTTGACCATTTAAAAGTAGTTTCAAAGGATGATCAACATCTTCTTGTAAAACCAGTTAGATGGTCTAAGGTAAGAAGTATCTCACTTTAGCCGTCTTAAAATTTGGTTCATACTCCAAGGTAGTCAGCTAGGATTTCTACCTAGCTGACAGTGGGAAACAGGCATCTCCAGAGTGGAGGGCCATGTGCATAGACATCCCATGTGTCTGAAGCACCCATTACAATATGGAAAGATTTCTACTTTGGAAGTACTGATCACCCTCCTCTGACTTCAGATGAAGGCCACGTGACTAAACTGCATGTGTGAACTGTAGGTAAGTAGTACTGGATAAGGTAAATCCCACCCATGGTGTTAGGACTCGATTTTTAGCAGCGATTTGCCAAAAGACCTTTGAAAGTAGGTGTTGGACTTTCTCAGAATTGAGCCTTTAAACTGCCCCAGGAAAACCTTCCAAAGCTGGTATTCAGTTTGGAAAGTCTGGATCCCTCTTTTTTGTTCCTAGGGCTTTTACTGAGTAATGATTATGCTTGTGTACAATCTCTAGAGACAATCTTTACAGTGTCTCCTGACAAAATGGGGTTTTGTGAAATGTAGTTATCTTCACTTAAATCCCTCAATATTTTTCATGAAAGGCTCAATGAGAATGCAACTGACTGCATCAATGTTATTTCACATGGCTGTAGTAACTGGTGTGTGCGGTTTCTTTGTTTTTGCTCTTTCCTTGCAGATGACTGTGTCACCATGGAAGAGATGAAGAAAACTTTGCTCTAGGAGATCACAAATCTCTCTGGGTCATTCTGCATCTCAATATTTAATAACAATGGAAAGTGTCCAAATGCTATAACAAGTCTTTGCAAATGTATAATAAACTGTTTAGGAAAGTTCCTGCCATGAACAGAACTGTATAATACTCACATTAGTGTACAGTCGCAAATCTAATGCCTATAGACTACTGCGTGGAAAGTTCCAAAGAGAAAGAAAAGTCTGTGAACTTGCAACAGCCCTGGAAAAATGGGAGCAACGAAACTTTAAAAAGCACAGCTTTGAACACACTCCATGTGTCTGCACAGCTTTCAAGTGAACTAGCACTTAAGACCTTGTGTAACAGAATGGACTCTGGGGACACAACTATAGGGCAAAAAGCTACCTCAAGGTCTGGAGAAACTGCTAAAGTACCAAGTAGATGGAGGCAAGAACATTCAGCTGTTATTAAGATGAGCGCTTTTGGCAATCAAGAAGTACAGAGGCAACCACAAATAGATCACGAGCAAATTGGAAACACAGCATCAGCACAACTTTTTAGTTCTGGGAAACTGGTATCATCGGATGAAACTGCACAGCAAGTCACGGAGAAGCAATATCCACAGCATCGTCCAAGTCCTTACTCATGTCAACATTCACTTTCTTTCCCACAGCATTCGTTGCCACAAGGCTTCTTGCACAACATAAAGCCACATCAGAGCTTGGAAGGCCCTCCGTGGCAGTTTCCTAGCCACTTGCAATCAGTTGCCTCAGAGGACTTGTTTCCTTTTCATATGCATAGCCATAGCGGAGGTTTCTCCAGGAAGAAGATTTCAAGTTTGAACCCTGCATATAGCCAATATTCACAGAAATCTTTAGAACAATCAGATGATGCTCACAAAAAGGAGCATAAACCCAAAAAGCCTGGCAAGTACATTTGTCCTTACTGTAATCGGGCTTGTGCCAAACCGAGTGTACTTAAAAAGCATATTAGGTCTCATACTGGAGAGCGACCGTACCCTTGTGTTCCTTGTGGTTTCTCCTTCAAGACCAAGAGCAACCTTTACAAGCACAGGAAGTCACATGCCCATGCAATTAAAGCAGGATTGGTACCTTTCACAGAGTCAGCAGTCTCTAAATTGGACCTAGATGCCAGTTACATTGATGTGGAAGCTGAAATACCTTCAGATGGCGAGCAGAGCACAGACACTGATGAGGAGACCTCACTCCTAGTGGAAGGGTCTGACAAACTGAGCCCCGTCCCACAGCTACCCTTGGACATTGCTAGCAGGAGCAGTTTTCACTCCTCCATGGAAGAGTCATTGGTGGGGCCAATGAAAGTGCCCATTTTGATTATCCCTAAAAGTGGTATTCAGTTACCCAGTGAGAGTTCACCATATATTGGCTCTGATATGCTGCAAAACCCATCCTTAAGTACTAGGTCTGATGACTCTCATACAGTTAAACAGCGACTTGCACTAAGACTGTCAGAGAAAAAAGGGCAAGATTCTGAGCAGTCGTTAAACCTCCTGAGCCCACACAGTAAAGGAAGCACTGACTCTGGTTATTTTTCCCGCTCAGAAAGCGCTGAGCAGCAAATTAGCCCACCAAATACTAATGCAAAGTCTTACGAAGAGATCATCTTTGGGAAGTTCTATAGGATTAATCAAAGGACAGCACTAACAGTAGCCACAACGAATCAGGAACACAGTTTAATGGGTAGAAAGGGCAAAGCAGAGCCATTACCTCTTTTAAATAACAGATTAGATATCAAGATGCTTGAGGAACATATTTCTCAGCTGACTCCAGATAAAGAAGAACTCATTGACTCCAGTAATTTGAGCACTGTTAAATCTACACAAGTTTATACAGGCAGCAGTACAGAATCTAGACAGTCCCAGACCACCACATCATCCATCAAAAGTGAGTCCAGCCTGTATCAAGTCAGTCAACAGGGTGACATGCCCACTCTTCTAGAGCCCCCAGTAGATTCCTCTCCTCTTATTAGAAGTAACTCCATGCCAACCTCTTCTGCAAACAGCCTAAATATTCCCCCGTCTCTGAGAGGAAGCCATTCATTTGATGAGAAGATGACTGGTTCAGATGATGTATTTTACCCTGGGACGGTGGGAATATCCCACCAAAGGATGTTGAGAAGACAGGCTGCCTTTGAACTGCCCTCTGTGCAGGAGGGACACACAGATTCAGACTATCATGGAAGACCAGGGAAAAATATCATTATTGCTTCCAGCAGACCAGGTGACAAAGGACCATCCTTAAAAGAGAAGAAAGGAGACAAGACCTTTTATGACTACGATGTCAGTGGAAAGCACTACAAAAAGTGGGAAGAATTTGAAGGTCAGAAACAGAACTCCTTAGGTGGGATGAACAAGGGGGGAGAGTACTTTGTTGATCCACTTGGACCATCTCAGGTGGTGCCATCCATGCTCGGAACAACTTTTGAAAACAGAAAGCGGAGGAAAGAGGAGAGCGTTGGAGATGAGGAGGACAGTCCCATGCTTTGCAGCAGTATGGCTGGCACCACTGGGGGAATTCAGCCTTTGGACTTTGATCCCAAATCCCAAATTCAGGAAGTGCCAAGGAGCGGATTTGCCCTTCAAGGCCTGGACAATGCTGCCCATTGCCATGCAGAGCGTTTTGAAATCTGCAGGCCTTACTTGCAGTCTGGAAGCCCAGCAGCTTCTCTGGAAGACTCATCCTTAACTGCAGAGCAAGAAAAGACTGCAGAATCACTGGCTAGAAAGCCCCCTGGAAATGTCATCTCTGTCATTCAACACACAAATTCGTTGAGCAGGCCAAACTCATTTGAAAGGTCTGAATCTACAGAACATATTGCATCTCAGAAGGAAAAGATCTATTCACCATCTGAAACATGCGAGAGCGAGGTTTGTGAATCCCCAATGAGCCCAGACCGAGCTCCACAAATGGAAAATGCTGACACCAGTAAGCCATCTCCATCCCAGCAGCCTCAGCCATATCATATGCAGCCCAGGTTGGTTCGCCAGCACAACATACAGGTACCTGAAATTCGTGTCACAGAGGAGCCAGATAAGCCTGAGAAAGATAAAGAAGTACAGAGTAAAGAGCAGGAGAGACCCACTGAAGAATTCCAGTGGCCCCAGAGAAGTGAAACCCTTTCTCAACTTCCAGCTGAAAAGCTACCACCGAAAAAGAAGCGTTTACGACTGGCTGATATGGAGCACTCCTCTGGAGAATCCAGCTTTGAGTCCACAGGTACAAGCCTTTCTCGCAGCCCTAGCCAAGAAAGTAATTTGTCCCACAGTTCGAGTTTTTCAATGTCCTTTGAAAGAGAAGAGAGTATGAAGTTCATCACGCCTCCCAAACAAGATGAGTTTGGAAAACAGTCTGAGTTTTTAACAGTTCCAGCTGGTGCTTACTCACTTTCCGTCCCTGGGCATCACCATCAGAGGGAAATGAGACGCTGCTCATCTGAACAGATGCCCTGTCCTCATGCTACTGAAATACCAGAGATCCGAAGTAAATCCTTTGATTATGGGAATCTATCTCATGCCTCTTCAGCTGGGACACCTACTACGGCACTGTCTCCATCCCGAGAAAGGAAGAAATGCTTCTTGGTTCGCCAGGCTTCCTTCAGTGGTTTTCCAGAGATTCCACAGACTGATCAGAGCACAGAACAAAGTATAAAGCAGGAGCAGATGGAACATGCACAGGCTGGTCTTCGCTCCTCCCAGCTTGCCTGGCATCACTCACCTTCCTCTGTACTTCAGCCCATTCAGGTAGATGACTCTGGAAAACACGCTATTGGCTCTTGTGCTCAGCTTAGTAATAGCTCGTCCCACCTTGCCCAGCAACAAGCTCTTGCAGACAGCCCAGAAATGTTAAGGACTCCCTTGGTCCAACAAGCACCTTATATTCCTAGCAAACATCCATCAGAGCAGCAGCAGGTATTTGCACATCAGGAAAAAGTCACATTTCCCCCTATTCGTAGCACCTTGTTTCAGTTCCCATATCCAGCTGTCTGCATGGTTCACTTACCACCATCTCAGCAGCCTGTCTTCTGGCAGTCATGCACAGAACCTCTACACTTCCAGCATCATTTTGTACAACAGCTGCAGAAATCTTATGTCAAACAGCCTTTCCAAACAGATGTTCCTCCAGGTTATCACCTGGAGCAGGCGCCAGAGCTTATTGGAAAGAAACCAGCTGATTATGTGCATGCTAAAGAGCAAGCATACCAGCATTACTCAGGAACATCTGGACAGTATTCAAAAAATACTCTTGCTAAGTACCAGTCAGACCATAGCACTAAACCAACAGATACCTCCTCTGAGCAGCATCTTCAGACAGATTTTGACTCCCCAAGTGATGGATCTGTACAGTCTTTGCCAGGAACAGTTGTTCCCGTCAGGATTCAAACCCATGTGCCATCTTACGGTAGTGTCATGTACACAAGCATTTCCCAGATCCTTGGACAGAGCAACAGTCCTGCAATTGTGATTTGTAAAGTTGATGAAACTGTTTCTCAAAGGACATTGGCAACTAGTGCAACCATGCAAGGAATTGGATTTAACATAGCTCAGATGTTGGGTCAGCATGGAGAGCTAGAAAAGTATCCTTTGTGGAAAGTGCCACAGACACTACCCCTTGGACTGGAGCCACCAATTCCCCTGTGTTTGCCTTCGACTTCTGACATGGCTTCTACCTTGGGAGGAAGCAAACGAATGCTTTCACCTGCCAGCAGCTTGGAGCTCTTCATGGAGACCAAGCAGCAGAAACGAGTCAAAGAAGAAAAAATGTATGGGCAGATAGTTGAGGAGCTCAGTGCAGTTGAATTAACTAACTCAGATATCAAGAAAGATCTTCCAAAAATGCAGAAGCCTCAACTAGTAAGGCAGAGCTGTGCTACTGAGCCAAAAGAAAGTCTGCCATCCATGTCATCCTCTTCACCACTGTCATCCTCATCATCTCAAGATCTTCCACCTGTCAGCATGCCAGCAGCTGATGCTTTCCCACTGAGCAGGGAGAAACTTTCCAGTTTTGATTCCACATCACCAGGGCAGAAGTCCAGTGGCCCTTCTGAAGGAAGAGAGTCGCCAGAAGAACTGGATGTGGATGAAACAGCCTCAGATATGAGCATGAGTCCACAGAGGTCTTCATTGCCACCAGGAGAAATTCAGCTGGAAGACCACCTGAAACATCAAAAATTGCCTCTTGGGATGTTAGTCCAGATGTCATCCACTACCAGTGGGAAAGTCACAGGCTCAACCATTCTCCTGACAGATGTAGCAGATTTTCAGCAGATCCTTCAGTTCCCAAGTCTACGCACTACTACAACTGTGAGCTGGTGTTTTTTAAACTATACGAAACCCAATTACGTTCAGCAACCAACCCTTAAGTCTTCTGTTTATGCTTCATGGTGTGTAAGTTCGTGTAACCCAAACCCATCTGGGCTAAGTACAAAGACCACTTTAGCACTTTTAAGGTCCAAGCAAAAAAACACCACGGAAATCTACACTCTGGCTGCTATGCATAGACCCGGAGCTGGTAAACTGACATCATCAAGTGCATGGAAGCAGTTTGCTCAGGTAAATAAAAGGTTTTAATAAAATTAAATTAGTATATCTTTACTTGAGAAAACATCAGTAAGCTATGAAATGTAAATTAATAATTTAAAAAAACTGTTCCCCACTGAGAAATCAGACATTGACATCTTCCCATGACAGCTTTTGAGCCTCAATTTACCTTTCTGCAAGCTCTGCTTCTTCTGCTGTCTTTGTCTCCATTTTCAAAATCAAATGTAAAAAGCGAGCCTTTTAAATGCCTCCCTTCCTGTGGGCCAGAGCCTAATACATTCTTTGTCCTTTGTTTTTGCCATGTCCTGATTCAAACAGTATCAGTCACAAACTTCCATACATGTTTGTAAGTAAAGATTAAGTTAAAATTACGTAAGGATCTTCAGATCCACTGAATGTCTTTTACATACTGACTCTTCCTTGTAGACTAAGCATTAGATAATGGTTCCAGGGAAAATTCTGTAATGGCAATAAATTACTTTCTAAGGCTTTTCCATCTCTATTTTCCATGACTTTTTTTTCTGAGGAAAGATACGTTACAGTCTTTTCTGTCAAGACTCTTGTAAAAAATTGTCCATGCTGTCCTCTCTCTTATTCTCCATCAAATTAAATGGGACAAATTAATTCATCCTGTAGAGTTGCACAAAAATGAGAGTTTGGCTTTGACCTGGAATGTTAAAAAGTACTTGAAATGAAGTGTGCATTTATTGTGTGCTCCAGCAGTAACATCCTTCCTTGACTTTGTTCTACAGATGAAACACGAGCCATTCTTCTTGTTTGGCAGCAAGCTTGAAAAGAAAGTAGTGGGGAATATTATAAAAGAAAGAGTAAAAGGAGACATTCATGGAGATAAAGACATTACATCCAAACAAACTGAGCCGATACGAATTAAAATCTTTGAAGGAGGGTAAGAAAATGCAACTGGAAATTTCAAGCTTGGCCTGTCATTTTAAAGAGATTTGAAAATGAATATGAACAAATGAGGATGTGAACAGGCTCCTGTATTCCTGCCATGTCTTGTAGCTCCCAAGCCGCGTCTTTCTTGTGTATATGTCAGTCTTAAAACAAACTACAGGGTACCTGTATACTTACTCTTGGCTCTACTTTTCTGTTAGGATAGTTACATTTTCTATCTGTGTGAGCACATTCACTCTAAATTGTTACTTTCATTCCTGAGGTCATAAAGAAATGGATAAATGGTTAACATGTTGATATGTTCTATACAATTTATTTGTATTTAATGGCTTCCGTGAGGATATCTTTCCATTTTTAGACTCTGTGTATCTCCACTCCCTTGAATGCATTATCTAGGCACACTTATTCTTGTAATTTTTTATTATTTACTGAAGTTGGATTTTGGAGATAAAATATAAGATGACAATGAAATATATGGTGTCTAAGCCTAATCCATAGATCTGTCACGTGTGGTTGATAAAATAATGTTTAGTTTTACCATGGCCATCTACCACTCAAGTGATAACAGAAACAAATAACGAAGAGAAGGAAAAAGGAGACCTGAAAGCCCATTAGCATTGTTTTGAGGCTTATGAAACTTGTTATAAAAAGCAAGTGAAATGGACACTTCTTTCCCTCTGCAGTACACTCCAAAATGGAAGATACTGTTTTGTTTCTTTTACAGAATTCTTATAAGATGCAATTAATTTGCCATTTATATTGAACAGTCAGGTGGCTGAACGAGATGTGTTTTTCAGTCTCACTAAACTCAAAAGGTCTCACAGCACTGCTTTACTGGGGTAACTAAATAGGTTAGGATAGAGATGTGAGAAATTCGTACATCCATTTCCTTCTCCCGTCAGTTTGTACACTTTAAAATCTCAGTTTTACTTCATTAACATTATGTGTTTTGTCTCCACTTGGATAGTCTCCATTAAATGAACAGTGGCATTTAATGGATAGTCTCCATTAAATGAACAGTGGCATTTCTCTGTAATCTGCAACACTGAAGGAGTATAGCCTACATCTTGCCTTGAAGACTGAAAATGTTATTTTGGAGATTGTTATAGGTATGCTGGCCCAGACACCCTGATCCTGGCTGTTCTCTGCAGTTGTACATTGTCCTAGTACCAAAGCCAGTAGGCTGGCTGCACAAGAGAGACCCAAATTCAGGGGTGAGCCTAAGTTTACAAGAAATTTAAAGATCTGTTCCTTCAACTCACACCCACTTTGAAGTATAAAATTTGCCTGCTTCCCACCATGTATCATTTCTGTATTTGGTTCACCCTGCTGAAGATAGCCTGCACTGATGTAAGCTGTGTGATGAGAGGTCAGAAGTATAAAAGTGTGTTAAGAAAAGCAACTTAAAGGAGGATTCAGATCAGTGTAAGCTGCAACAGATCACTCTATAAAACACCTCCACCATCTAACACCTTCTTTAAGCAACTTTGTATGTTACTTAGACCATCTTAAGTTTCCCTGTACTCCAATAAAGTCTATGGAACTATTTGTGTAAAGGCATATAATTCACATATCACCTAGAAATTTCTCCTAGTAATACTTGGCTATGTTTAGGTATCCTTTGAGTACAACAAAAAGTAAGAAACCTTGATTTGCACATGAATTTCTGGAGGTGGGGGGACAAATAATCTGTGCAATAGACTGGGACTTTCCCAATAGGAGCATATAACCTGAAAAGCTACAGTGAATGAGATGACATGGTGTTAATGGCTCCACCCTTTCCTTTTACATCGTAATTTTATCATACGTTTTATAGGAATTATTTTTGGAAGGGTAGATTCATTCTTTTCATTAGCTTGGCTAATTTTTAAAATGGATATAATATTATTTACATATTATAACCATGTCTTTCATTGTTTTCTGTCCTGACTATTGAATTTGTCCTCCTCTTCAGGTTTTTGTTTGTGACTTCTGAAAGCTAGTTTTTAACATGGGTGGGTTTCTGTGCTTGCTTGCTCTGGGCTGTTTGTAGAGCTGTTCTGTTCTTCTCTGTTCTGTTCCACTCTCATCAAGCTCATCTTAGTATGATCTCAGCACATGCAAGTGGTGCACTGAACTATGCAGCAAGTGTCTGTTGTCTTTGTTTCACATTTTCTTCCCTGGACAGATAAGCATGCATGGTGATTTTTTTTTCAGCAGAATATTTTCTTTTTGGTTTTTGTTTGTCTTGGGGAGTGGATTTGCTTGGTTGCTTCTGTTCTGTAAGTGTGAAGAAGGCAATTCAGAATCCATAGCTGAAAAAGATCTGCAGTTGCCAGTTTGGGGTTTGTGGGAAAGCCTGGTCACCGGGCAGTGAAGGACAGATGCGCAGCTGCCTCTGCCAGGGGAGCAGAGCGCTTGTGTGGCAGGGGGACAAAAAGCAAATAGATGGGGCTGGGGATGAGTGAGAACCTGAAAGGATGGACTTGAGCCGAAAAGCAGATGTCACAGCACATCACCACCTCACTGCACCAAAGCCTGTCAAGAGCAGTTTGTAAGCATCACAGCAGAGGGGGTTTTGAGGGAAGAAGCTAACAACCGTATTATTACCTCTGGCGGGTGGCTTGATTCGAATGAAATTATCTGAATCACAAAATCTGCTTTCCATCATCTGTGACTGCAAAACCCTGCTGTGATATGAAACAGTGCTCCTCAAAGAAAGCAGCAATTTGAAGTTCAGTACTTGCTGCAGGACAGTTAGTTACTAATGACGTGAAGTGAAAAGAAAGGAGGGACAGGGCAAACATGCCCACTTGCATGATGTCTGGCTTAATGACTGTATCAGCTGACAGAAAGAGTTCACAGTTTGCTTGTTTGCTTGTTTGCTCTTTTAGATCTATCAGTAATAGTCTCTAATTGAAAATCCCCAATGAAACAACATTTTGGATAGAAATTGCAGTACTCTAAAGCTTGTTAATGCTTTTTAACTCTAGAGTCCCATTCAAATCAAGCTCAGAGCAGCAGTGACCATAATCCTTGTATGAAGGTTGTGTAGTGGGCAGGGGGAAATTACTGAAAGCTTTGAGAGAGATGGGAGTTAATAGTAAGCTCTAATATCCCCGGGGCCTAGAAAGATAATCACCATAGACTCAGTCTTCTGGTGTTCCAGGTTTTGGACCAGGCCTTCTTTAACTGTCAAATCTGTGTGTGTCATTTCTCTTACAGTTGTTATTATGGTGAAGCATACTTAGAGAGTCAAGGTCAGTTATGGCCAAGAACCATCCATATCAATGATGAAGAGGCAGATCTTGTCTAATTGTATTTATGCCCAATGGTATCTGACAGGTGACAGAAGCCAGTGGAATGAGGTCAGGCAGAGGAATAGGAACAGAGGATGGAGCGACAGAAAAGCACAGGTTGTAACACAGAATTTATATTACTATTGTCAATCAGATGCGATATGGTAGACTCCATCCCAGCAAAATCAGACTGTAAGGAGAGATGAAAAGATGATAAAATGGCAGTCCTTCAAACAGTAATGGACATTTTTGCTGTCTGTAGGAGAAAACCTGGAGGTTGTTGATGAAGCAGTGGATAGAGAGATGACTAGGAGTTGTTGGCATCTGTGTATGAAGGAGAATCTGGGAAATGGGGTAGACAAAAAAGCAGAATCCCAGAAATGTTATACAAAAAAAAACCTGCTAGAGAGACGTCTAAATATTAAATCTCATTACCAACAATATTTTGTGGGCTGCGTATCCGCAGAATGACTGAAAGTACTTTGTGCTGCTTAGGGAGAAGGCAATGGAGGACAGAGGGCAGAAAAAATATTTTTTCTCAGTTCTCATATTTTCTGGATTTTACTTTGGGTGAATGAGGATGAAATTCTCCCTCTAGGGAATGCTTAGCACTCTTCAAACTTCAGAACAGCCTGAGCAGATCCCTTGGGCCCTTTTAGATTTCAGTATTAACAATTTATAATGATGGTAAAGGCTATGTGCAGCTTTACACAGATTTGCGTATCTTATTTATTGTCTAACTACACACTATGTAATCAGCAAAAATAGCATGGAATGCCTCTGCCTGTGCTAAGAAAAAGTCCTTTAACAGTTTTCTGCTAAGTATGAGAGTTGGAAGCTTCCCATTATGTTTCTAAAGCAGCACATACCTGAGTGAACTCAACTTGGTGTCCCTTAGGGAGGAATACATCTTTGGGAACTTGAAGCATCTGTGGGGTAAAGGTGTACATCGTTGCTAGTCATCTGCATTCCCTTTATGCTTAATGGGGAGAAATGGGCTTTTCCAGGATGTAATTCATCTGATCTCAAGGGATAAATACACTAAAATATTTAAATGTACCATACATTGCTGTTTCCAGTGGTGGTAGATGCCTACATTGTGCAAGACTACAGTTAGCTGAAATAAATCCAACCTGCAGACTCATATTTGGAGCTGTGCTGTGTCTAGCTAATCAGTTTCCTGACCAGGTGCTTATACTGTGTTCATACTGCAACCCTTTCATCTCATATTGTTAAAACACATTGAGATCAGTGCATTTCCTGAAAGGCAAATACTTTGTGAGCTCCAGCCTGAAAATTCAGTAGTTCCTATGGACTTCTGTGTGTTTGCTGTTGTGATGAGATATATACAGGATCAGGATCAGATACACAGAGGTGATGATTGTGCATATGTGTGACCTATAGTCTGTATGATTTAAATGTTTGCTCTCTTCCAAACAGGTATAAATCAAATGAAGATTATGTCTATGTCAGAGGTCGTGGCCGAGGAAAGTACATTTGTGAAGAATGTGGAATTCGCTGCAAAAAGCCAAGCATGCTCAAAAAACATATCCGCACTCATACTGATGTCCGGCCTTACATATGCAAGTTGTGCAATTTTGCCTTCAAAACTAAAGGTACTTATCCCCTTCTGCCCACTTCCCAACCAAATATTGAGCTGTTTTGCCATCTGGGATCCAAGCACCTTTTGCAGTCAAGGCGAGAAATTTCTTCATAATAAAATTATTGAGTTTATGTATACAGGACTTCATGAAAGAGGTTTTTCTCTTCTCTTTAATTGATCCAGGGATTTTGTGAGACTCCGAGACTCCTTGAATAGCTTCATTAAGAGCTATAGGCTCTTGTCTAGTCCATCTGTCTGCAGAGAAAATGTAGTAGTATAAGAACCACCCTTACAAATAATACTTTCTGCCAAAATTGTTACATGGTGCAAATTCTAATTGCAGCAACACTTAAATGCTACCGGGAGAGTACACTTGTTATGACATAATGTAGAAGCAGAGCATCAGCTGCTGAGGAAAACATGCCTTCACGGGCTTTACAGTGGGTCAGTTTCAAGTTTATAAATAACGTATGTCTCCCAGATGGGCCACTCCATCCACTGTGGCATTAATTATGAATAGAGATCTGGTAGCTTGTGTTCACATGTATTTATCAACACAGAAAAAAGCTTCCATTTGTCACCCTGAGGCCACAGAAAATTATATTCTTTGTAATTCAGATTTGCATTGCAACTATCTCCTTAAAAGAAAAAAAATCATTTTCTTTGGAAGCGTTCTTCATAGCACAGCCCAAATGAGTCTTACATTCTCAGTTTCTTAGCTTCCCTTTGGCAGACAAGGGAAATGGATTCTGGGCCAAGTGCGGGCAACTTACTTGAAGGGGGATAGAGGAAGCTGAAGGAAATTTCTCCCAAGATCCCTGTGCAGCTTCATGACTGTTTGGAGGATTGAGAATTGTAATAGTTTCCATGACTCCAACACTTCTTCCTCTGACAAAGATGGGAATAGCTGATGGATGGCGGTAGACCCATCAAGCTAATTTAAGATGAGAACTTTCATCGGGGAGACAAAGACAAGGAGCTGCTTGTTTGTGGTCCCAATAGACCATCTGGTGAGCTGCTCTCGAATCATTGTTTACATTTGACGTTGCTGGAGGAATGGGTCTTGAGGAGGGACTTGAAGGAAAATTGTGGTTTTGCAGCTATGTTCAGAGAGGACATTCCAGGCAGAAGAGATGACATGGAAAGAAATGTGGAATTGCTTGCTGAGGCTGGTAATTCTGGCAGAGAAGAAGAAACAGGGAGGAGGTGGTATGCTATTGCACAAGAAGGGCATGGATAGGAAGAGACTAAGTTGACCTTCAAAGTACAAGAAGTGTTTAAGTGGTGTATTGCTGCTTATGAGCAGTTGTCAGCCTCATAACTATTGTTGCAATTTTTCTGGGAAGAGTAGGGGATAGAACTTCAGAGGTACTTAGGTTTTCAGTGTACACCCTGGGTGTTTAGTCATCCAGAGGCATCAGTGGCCAAGTTACACTTTTCATGCAGTGCACAGGCACAATAAGAAACTCTTATTGAGAAGGGAATCATTTGAACTATCTGGGACTGAAAGTCAGAGGAGAGAAGCCTGGCTTATGAGGTTCTAAGCACACCTCCACTATCCAACAGAGTGGTGCAGTGTTCCTGCCACCAGGTTGCATGTGCCCTACTGGTTGGGGACCCAAAAGCAGCATAGGTACATTCACAGAGTGCTTTCGTGTCTTGGTGGTGGGTTGGGTTTGCTTGTGCCATGCTTTCACCATTGGGTGCTGCAAATGTGACTGAAGTGGCTAATGGATTAGAGTGATACTCTTGTTTTTCCAGCTTGTGCTTTGTGCTTAAGATTCTTTGCCATGAAATGTCTCTTAGGGCCAGTCTCAACCCAGTTTTCTTATCTGTGAAAAAACAGACCAAGACAGGCACTCCAGAAAGTCAGTAGTCTAGTGTTAGATTGCTCCCTCAGGGGAATGGGAGATCTGATTTCAAATCCCTGCTGTGTCTGGTTCAGATCTGTACTCCAAAGCAGGGAGCTGAATCTGGATTTCCCACATCCCAGGTGGATGCTGTAAGTACAGCTCCTCTCAGTTCAGTGGTTGCAGCTAGATGGTAAACTTGCATAGAGAAGTCTCCCATAAATGTCTTTTTTGTGGGGCACTTTTGCTTCAAATGCTTCGAATACACTGAACATATGGAGCCTATATGTGAAGTAGATGGGAGAGCCCTTAGCTGGAAAGTACCACTGTGAAACAAGGAATGTGAGCCCTGAACGGCTGGTGTGCATTGGACTTCCTTCCATGTCCGGGCAGTCTGTACCTGTCACAAACACTGAGCCCAGGGATAGATAACATGCAAAAGCAAGTTTTTTTAGCTTGCTAGGGTGCCTAACTGTCGTGTGGAAGGTTGGAGGGATGCCTATATACCTCTCAGGCCTTGAGTTGAAGTTTATTTGAATTTTTTTTTTAATATAAAAACCCTCTCTCATTAAAACAGGCTCTGAGGGCAATGGGCTGGATGAGTCAGCCCTGTCTGTTGTGGGTCTTTTCAAACTTAAAACCCCCATCTGCAGGATAATGGAGTTAAGATACACCAAAACCGGACTTGGGGAGTGATCTTTGCTGTTGTCCATTAATTATATTAATCTCTAATCCACAGGAAATCTGACAAAACATATGAAGTCTAAAGCACACATGAAAAAATGCCTGGAGCTTGGAGTATCAATGACATCCGTAGATGATGCTGAAACTGAAGAAGCAGGTATGTCAGAATGATTTAATTTAGTTGGAATGGCCTCTGGAATATGCAAATGACTCATCGCACTTTAGCCCAGAGGCTGGCATGGGAAAAAATATTAAGAGTATTTGTGGCATTTTTTAATTAAGAGGTATCTTTTAAATAGAGAGTAGCTAGAAAAAATAAGTCCAATCCATTTGTCTGAGTTGCTTTTTTTATTAAGATACATGAGGAGGAGCTAGAAATAAAAGATATGACCTGTTGTCATCTGTCTCATATGAAGTTCCCAATTTTCTTAATTTAGATGTGAGACATGGCAACATTTAGCAAAGTTGCAAGGTGGGGTAGGGTGAATTTGCTTTTTATACTTCCTTTCAAGTATAGAGTTTTAAGATATTATTATGAAAAAATTATGGTTTGATACCATGAAGAATGGCTTTATGCAGCCATCCCAGATGAAGAGCATCCAGTGAAGGCAATAGGTGTGCTAGCTGGGGAATGAATGTGGTGAAAGGTGTAAGAGATGGGGTGCATGCTCACCATTTTGCCGTATCTGTTTCAGAAAACATGGAGGACATGCTGCAGGAGGCAGGGAAGAGCAGCAGCCTGGCTGGCCTGTCAGCAGAGCACCAGTTTTCTGATGCAGAGGAGTCAGATGGCGAGGATGGCGATGACAATGATGATGATGATGAAGATGAGGATGATTTTGATGATACTCAGGGAGACTCAACACCAAAAACCAGATCAAGAAGCACCAGCCCGCAGCCCCCTCGGTTCTCCTCCCTGTCGGTGAACTCAGCTGGGGCGTCACAGGTGGCTTCCCCTGAGGGCTCCCTTTCTGTGGGACACTCCTCCCTTATCAGTTACTTGGTCACTTTACCTAGCATTCAAGTTACTCAGCTTATAACATCAAGCGACTCCTGTGAAGACTCACAGATGACAGAATATCAGAGGTTTTTCCAGAGCAAGAGTATCGATTCGGAGCCTGATAAAGACAGGTTGGACATACCTAGCTGCATGGATGAGGATTATGTGCTTTCTTTGGACCCCAGTTCGTCTCCGAGGGACCTCTCACCTTCCAGTCGACAGTCGTCACCCAGCTATGATTCTTCACCCTATAGAGATAACTCACCAAAGAGGTATTTAATGCCAAAAGGGGATTTGTCACCCAGAAGGCATCTGTCACCCCGAAGAGATATTTCACCCATGAGGCACCTTTCTCCACGGAAGGAGGCTGTGCTGAGGAGGGAGTTATCACCAAGACGGGATGTGTCACCAAGACGTCACCTGTCGCCAAGGAGACCAATGTCACCAGGGAAAGATGTGTCTGTTCGAAGAGATTTGTCTCCTAGGCGAGAGAGGAGATATATGACCTCCGTTAGAGCAGCATCTCCCCGAAGGGGCTTATACCACAATCCAGCGTTGTCCATGGGTCAATATTTACAGTCTGAATCTATTCCAGTGGGGCACTCAGTAAGTATGAAAGAATATTTTCACTCCTGTTGTCAAAAACAGTGTTCTTACCTAATCCGTGTGTAGTATTTTTAAAAACTTTGCAGCTTTGTAGAAGAAGAAAGCATAAGCTTTCAGCCTTGGCGGGAAGTCCTGGAACAAATGCAAGAAATTTGGAATAAATGGGAACCAAGTTGGGATGTTGATTCAGTCAGATGCAATGGACTCAGCCTAAGGGTCAAGTCTTACGTGGTACAAGCCTGAGTAGCTCCATTAACTTAAATGAAATTAGGCTGGCTTACATTAGCTGCCCTTGTCTTTATTATATTTATTCAATATATGTATTGTATTATATTATATTATTTTAAAACAGCCCAGGAAGCTTATATAGCGTGTAGGGCTTGTTTCTGCACTGTAAAACCTTTTACCTCCCAGACTGTCAGATGGGATCCAGCCCAGATCAGGGCATAAGGCCCTGATGCTGCAGTACAGTGCCCATCACCGAAGTATTGTTTAAAGGGATAAAAACGTTAAAATAAATGGAACCTCTCAGAAAAGCAGGCTGCCCATTGAGATCAGGATCTGTGGCTGGAGTTTAGGGGATATTATTGTGTGACAGGAGCAGGCAGCTGTCTGCCCCACAGAAAGCTCCATCATGACTGGCTGTTTTTGTCAGGGACGTAACTGTCTGTGTGGAAATGGAAATATGCAAAACTTGCACAGCTGCTGTCTGTGCTGTTCCCTTTCGGTAAATCAGCTTTCAGAAACTGCCAGCTTGGCACTTTTGACAAGCCCTAGTATTCAGAAAGCACTCTCTCCACAAATAAATTTGGTCTTTAGAGTTAAGGAATGGCCTCACTATGCATACATTCATTTATTTATTAATTTTGTATGCTTCCCTTGCCACGTTCGCTGTTGCTGCTGCCTTCTCAGCCCCTATGTGTGGGTTCAACCCAGGCAAGCTGTACAGGCTCGCACTGATTCAGGGCTTGTGCATCCCTGCCCTCCTCCCCGCAGGGCTCTCCTCCTCACTTCCCCATTGCCAGTCCTCTCGGCTCTTTGTGTAGTTCTTTGTGGTGCTTCTCTGTATAGGAGAAGAACTGAACCCTCTGCTCATAAAATCAGCATTTCCAGAGCTCTGGGTGAATTTCTCTGTGGAGCCATGCTGACGTGTTACCTGCACCTCGGATTGGAGCGAGGGATGCAGCTGGGCAAAGGTGGCTGGATCAGGGATGGACCAGACAGTGCCAAGATGCTGCCACCTTAGCAAATCCAAAAGTGGCTTCCCAGCTTTTCAGGGGGATAAGGGAAAAAGATGCAATGTGAGTGGCCATGTGTATAGGAGAGAGCAACGCAGGTGCTACACCCCATGACTTGGTAAGTTGTTGGGGAGAGCAGCAGAGAGGGGTGGCTGACTGAGGGGTCCATGAGGAAGGGCATGTTGAAACCATGCTGCGCTCTTATGGGGGTGATCACCGGGTAGCTGAGAGAGTATGCAAATCCAGCTAGCAGTTCTACCAACAACGTAAGGAAGCACAAAAAGAGGATAAATAACCACCAGTTTAACAGTCATGATATCCTAGTATCAAATAGAAGGGATTATATGAGACACTACAGCTGACATTGTGCAGGGAGCCTAAGTCCTTCCTGTCCCGCATAAGACACCTCCACTGGCATCCTCTAGTAGAGATTTTGGATGTGTGATGATGCTGACATTGTGTAGGGAGCCTAAGTCCTTCCTGTCCCACATAAGACACCTCCACTGGCATCCTGTAGTAGAGATTTTGGATGTGTGATGATGCTGGCAAAAGGGTATGTGACAGTCACCCTTGGCCATCTGACAGTTCTTGCCGTAATGCTTGCCTTGTGTGTTATGCACACCTTCCGGCATGGCGTTTAGCACATTGTAAGGACTCTTTTTAGGGAGCCTAAGTCCTTCCTGTCCCACATAAGACACCTCCACTGGCATCCTGTAGTAGAGATTTTGGATGTGTGATGATGCTGGCAAAAGGGTATGTGACAGTCACCCTTGGCCATCTGACAGTTCTTGCCGTAATGCTTGCCTTGTGTGTTATGCACACCTTCCGGCATGGCGTTTAGCACATTGTAAGGACTCTTTTAGCACCCTTAGCTCCTTCTTTTGGAAAGTCCACCATGCCAGATGGGCTTTTAACACTTACCTTATTTTTGAGGTAGGATCAGGCATGCAGCAGTGAAAAACCCAATGTAAAAGATCATTTGTCCTACCGAAAGCATCAGTAACTCAGTGGCATGTTGAGTGTTTTGAGAAGTCCAGACTTCAGTACAGTCACTGGAACCTGAATATAGGCATCCCTGGAAGTGGAGCCCAGGCAAATTTAAATGAGGAAATGACAAGTGAGGATGATTGCCCATCTCAACAAACAACTGCAAGGAAGGAAAGAAGGATTCCTTACCTCTTGATGCCTTTCTGGAAGACGTACCTTAGCCAAACAGTAGTTGAGTTTAGGTGAAACACAAGTTATTATACTCAGTGTGTGGGAAGACAGATAGCACCTGAGCTTGCTATAAATGAAAGCTGTCAGAGAAGAAAAAGGAAAAAAGGCTGTTTTTCACTTTCAAAGAAGTGAAATCCAGCAAATCAGAACATGATGAGCAACTGCATCAGTGATGCAGATGCCTGCTTACAATCCTGCTTCCTCTTTCAGACCTCCTTTGGGTTCCCAGTCCTTGCAAGAATAAGAGTGGGTTTGTGCTTCTGGTGCCTCCACTTCCCAGAAGAGGCCAGTTTTCTTTCTTCTGCACTGAAATTGATGTATTTGCTCTAGTCTCTTTGGCCAGTGCTGGTCCAGTTCCCCTTCATGTTGCTTTCCCTTGAATGTTCGTGCACTTTGGTGGTCTCATGCAAAGAGCTTGTAAAGTGGTCTGGCATTGAAAGCACCACACAGAAAGCAAGTGCAATTATTTCTTTAGGAAGTGGAAAAGAGCATGGGGAAAGTAACTATTTGTGTAGATTGTACAAAAATACAGAAAAATATACTTTTTTTTCTTTGGCAATTACTAACAGGATACACTCTTGCAACAGGATAGTCTCTCCAAAGTACCCTAATAAGGCTCTGGTTCATGCTGATGCACATTTGGCTTTGGCAAGTTAAACATCAGTCTTTAAATTTAAAGGCAGATCCACATTGCTCTTTAAATACCTTCAGGATTGTCTGTTCTGTCCTTTCTGAGGAGTCTCATGCCGTTACTGAAGAAAGGGCTTTGATTCTTCTCCCCAGTCACTTTATGCCAGTCCTGAGAGAAAGAGGAGAGAAGGGAAGGCTGCTTTTGTGTGCCTTGAGTGCATCTCTGTTAGCATTTTGGTTTGGATCAGGCATATGTCTCTGTTGTCACATTCACTGTGCTTTGACTCACTTTGCAGAGCAGTCTTGGAGTAAGTGACATGAATTATTTTCAGATGAAATTAAATAAGAAAATGTGCCCTAGGCATGTAGCAGGTGCACTTAAACTGTGAGTGGACATTCAAGTGAGTGAGAAAAGATCACATAGGGTTAGTCCGAAGCAACCTTCCCCTCCAACCCTGTAACACTTATATTGTGACCATGGGATCCAGCACCAACAGTTTCACTCTGTTCCTGCTTGTCCCTCTTCCTAGTGCACCTTGCTACTTCCTAGTGGGGACCAGAGCTTTTGCCTTTTGCCTCTTCTTCCAGTCCCAGGGCTAGACACAATGAGACTGTGAATATATCTTGCTGTGGGTGGTACAAACTTGACCCTAGTAACTGTTTTGACTTCTATGAGGTAGTAGATTTTGCTTGTGTTGCTGTTCTGCTGCACCTCTCATTCATTGTTAAGTCTGAAGCCTGTCTCGATGTATTCAGAAGGGCTGAAGGGAGTTAGGCACCTCTATATCCACTTGAAAGTCGATAGGACTTAAGGTCCTTTGATCATCCCAGACATATGAATATGAAATCCTTTCCCAACCACTCAGTACTTTATCATCTTGAGTGAAATGCATTCCTGTACAGAGAGACAGCAAAAAACTTCTAAAGTTCAGGTAGACTGTAAATAGGTCCACAGGTGTATGTGGGCTGCTATAGTGCATTCTCAGTAGGACTGCAAATCAAGCTGATCCCAAACCTGAAGTCCACACCGATTTATAGTCACTTTATTAAGCATCATGTCTTTTAGAAAGCACATTGGTGATATGCTCTTTCACAATAGAGTTCAACAACTTTTTTTTTAACATTTTAACCTCTTTGTCAGCAACATGGACAGTGGGATTGAGTGCACCCTCAGCAAGTTTGCTGATGACACCAAGCTGTGTGCTGTGGTGGACACACTGGAGGGAAGGGATGCCATCCAGAGGGACCTTGACAGGCTTGAGAGGTGGGCCCATGCCAACCTCATGAAGTTCAACAAAGCCAAATGCAAGGTCCTGCACGTGGGTTGGGGCAATCCCAAGCACAAACACAGGCTGGGCGGAGAATGGCTTGAGAGCAGCTCTGAGAAGGATTTGAGGGTGTCGGTAGATGAAAAACTGAACATGGGCCGGCAGTGTGCGATCACGGCCCAGAAGGCCGACCGGATCCTGGGCTGCATCAAGAGGAGTGTGGCCAGCAGGTCGCGGGAGGTGATTCTGTCTCTTGTGAGGCCCCACCTGGAGTACTGCATCCAGGTCTGGGCCCCCCAGTGCTAGAAAGATGTTGAGCTGTTGGAGCAAGTCCAGAGGAGGGCCATGAAGATGATCAGAGGGCTGGAGCACCTCCCCTTATGAGGACAGGCTGAGAGAGTTGGGGTTGTTCAGCCTGAGAAGAGAAGGTTCTGGGGAGACCTTATAGCAGCCTACCAGTACCTGAAGGGGGCTACAGGAGAGATGGGGAGAGACTTTTTAAAAGGGCATGCAGTGACAGGATGAGGGGTAATGGATTTGAATTGGAAGAGGGCAGATTTAGATTGGATATTAGGAAGAAATTTTTCACTCTGAGGGTGGTGAGGCACTGGAACAGGTTGCCCAGAGAAGCTGTGGATGCCCCATCCCTGGAGGTGTTCAAGGCCAGGCTGGATGAGGCTTTGAGCAACCTGGACTAGGGGAGGGTGTCCCTGCCCATGGCAGGGGAGTTGGAACTTGATGATCTCTAAGGTCCTTTCCAACCCAAACTATTCTGTGATTCTATGATTTTCTGTTTTTTAACTTCAAAAAATCCTCAAGTACATTACAGTATAGTAATCAAAGAGATTGTTTTCCACCTGCCATTTTTGCAAGCTGTGGTCTGAGGCCGCTTGGAGGATGTCTGTGAAGGGTGCTTGGCTTTGAAATGTGAACTTACTCTTAATCCCCCACAGCCTGTTTCTGGTGATGTACCAGATGCAGGTTAAATCCTGTCACCATCCCTGGGCATTCTGGGGGACCTGTGAATCTGGATATGGCATTGCTTAAGGGTGTGATGTGGCAGTCTAGGTGAATGACTAGGTCAGAGAGTTTAGTGAAAAGCTCCTACAGAATATTGTTGCTCGGGAAATTATGTGTCAGCTGGAGTTGGAGGGAAATATGCTAAACTGCAACAAATGAGAATTAATAGGAAACGAGCTGTATTCCCATCACCTGCCAATGAGAGATCATCTTCACGTGCTGGCAGCAACCCATTCTGACTGCAGTGCAAAAAGATACCATGACTTTCTGCACTGTGCTCAGCGATGGGATCTAATACCCTGTCAACAGAATAAAGTATTTGGATTTTCAGGATGTTTGTTAAAAGAAGACAGCTCTTCTAATATTCAGTCTTTCCCAGTGAATGAGTATATGCATATCTGCTTGTAGGCATGAAAATGCTAGATAGTGGTAAAGGAACAAAAGCAGGGTGAGAGGTATGAAGTTAGTAATGCCTGTAACCATTTATGTTGGCCGTTTCCAAACTTAGCTGACAGAACTAGAGAAAGATAATCTGATATGTGCTCAGCCAGGCTTGGAAGGCATCCAGTGGACATGCACACACTGTCACTGTCTATGTAAAAATTATGCATATGAGACATATATTGGATGATACTGCTGATCTTGAAGCGTGTAGCAGTTTCTGTCGTGTTAGCCATCTCTGTCCGACAAGGACGGACTGTTACTCTATTCCCTTTTGAAACTGTGGCAGGGTACAAAACTGAATCCAGTGTCTTTCTCAATTAGAGATTTCTATGTGACTAGGTTTGTTCTTCCATGAGTTTTACTCCTTTTTTTTTTTTTTTTTGGTTCCTTTTGCTACACTTCCCTTAGCCCAAGTTCACATCAGATGCAATAGTGATAAATGTCATGGCTTAGGAAACAGCCAAGAGAACAGTATGACTGAGAAATGGCTTGACAGACCAAAGATGGAAAAAAAAAGGGGGCAAGCAGCTGTGCAGAGGTGAGGTTGGTGATAGGAAGGACTGACAGGGTAGGTGAACTATGTCTTGTGGCTTGGCAACTGCAGTTTATTCTGTAAATTTTTCCCCATTCGGCAGTACAGCATGCTGTCATTGTGCTTTCTTATGACAGTTTCTCTTTTATGAGACTGAAGTGTCTCGCTTTCTGAATAGGAAAATTCCCAACATAGATTAGTCTCTGAATAATACCATCTCTTAAGTTTGAGTCTGATGATTGTGGGTCACCCTTTCTGTCTCGACATTGATTTATATCGAACAGGACAAAGCATCTGAGCACAGTGAGACTGAGCCCCTGGGCGGCATGGAAACTGAATCTTTAATTCCCCCCTAAACCAGTTCCCTGGGATGGAATCAAGAACTTGCTTTATGCCTTGAGAGCTAGGATTTCCCAGGAGTGAAGTGGTGCCACTTTAGCGCATTGGCATTTAACAGTGCAGTCCTCAGGCTGCCACACCAAGACTATGGTAGCAGTACAGCTCTGGGGCAATTGATAGGTGCTTGGTCAGTTTGCAGAGCAGAGATGAGCATTTTCATTCATTTAATTTCCTATGTAAGTCCCTGAGAGTTGTGTGGCCAAATCCCACACACAATTATGAAAATGTCATCCTGCACTTCTGTCATCGTTATTCTTCTGGTCAGCAATAAATGATACTTAATCATGAAATGAAAAACAAATTTTACAAGTTAAGAATGAAAAAAAAGAGAAACCCAAAAGCCCAGGGCATGTTTAATACTGAGTGGTGATGGAGCTATTCATTCTTCCAAGGCAGGAACTAATGGGAAGGCACTGAAAATGTCAATATTGAGAGATTGGTTTTTATTAGCCATTACAAAACCCCTCATTCTTCTCAACCCCCTTATGAGTGGGCAAATCTCCCTGTGACAGATTCATCACTTTCACTCAAAGCCTGTGCTTTTGTTATTATTTATTGTTCACAGTACGGATAGGCCAGAGTGGTGCTCCTTTGTCTTAATAACTATAGAAGTTTTGGTCTTCACTGCACAGAGACTTCCATGGAAATACTTATCCCCTTTCATCAATGATTGGGTAAAGCTCATGGGGAGCAAGTGCCTCCTCTGGGGCTCCAGCGCAGGATCTCTCAGAAGGCAGAAAACACGTATATACAGATTTTTCTGGTACTGCCAAGCAGTGGTGGTGAGCAGGGACTGTTTGGATGTGTATTTCTCTGCAACAGTCTCGATACCCAGTGTGGACTGCCAATACCAGCACAGTTTGCCAGAAGAGAGGGTAAGATGGATCTCCTGGCCAAATTTCTCCTGGGAAATGAAACTCTATCTACCCCAGATCCTCTCCAAAATTTCAGTCGAATATAATACTCTTCACTTCCTGACCAAAATTGCTGCACTGTGTTGCTGAACACTCATAGCTAGCTGCTGCCTTTCACCTCAGAGGCGTGAGCCCTGTAGGGCTGAGCTAAGCAAAACCTCCTCTGTTGTTTGGATAAGCAATTAGTGGAGTTTTCCAAATGCTTTGGGATCCATCTGGATGAAAGGTACTGCATGAACGGGAGGTTGTGTTAGACAGGAAAGCCGATAGGTGGTTTGGCAGCCAGACAAGAATTTTGCTAGTAGCAGCACTGACATTTCTTTTGTTTTTTTCTGGTTACAGAGACGGGGGTTGTCTCAGGGGCCTTACTTCAATGTGTATGGAGAAAAAGGAGGTATGGAGCACCGTGGGTCTAGCCCGTTCCCTGCAGGTCCGAGTGACTATGTCTTCAGTCATCTTCCACTACACTCCCAGCAACAGATCCGAGCACCCATCCCCATGATGCCTATCGGGGGTATCCAGATGGTCCATTCAGTACCCGTGGCCCTTTCAGGTTTACATTCTCCGTCCGCTCTGGCCCTGCAGAGAGAGGGCTCTGAGGAGAAGCAAAGAGGAACAGTGGAAATCCTTACAAAAGAATCGTATAGTATTTCTAAGCACCACGAGAAGCGTACCTCTCCGCACAGCTTGCACCCCACCGCTCCCTCCAGCGCGCCCTCCTCTCCGTTGCTGTTGCTGGCGCAGAGCATGTCGGAGGACAGTGTCCTAGCTACCGAGAGGGAGCAGGAGGAAAACATCCAGACTTGTACAAAAGCCATAGCCTCTCTGCGAATCGCCACAGAAGAAGCCGTTCTGCATGGGGCGGAGCAGCTGCAGAGGCCTTCTGAGCCTCCCCAGAAACCCTCAGAAAGTGCACATTTTAGCATTAAACACTTTAGTGGATCTGAGCCAGGCCAGACCTGTGTCTCAGCCACCCATCCTGACTTGCACGGTGGTGAACAGGACAGTTTTGGTACATCACAGACTGCGTTAGCCCATCTCACCTTTTACAGCAAGAGCTTTGTGGACGGCCGGCAGTTGGGCTTTCACAGCAGGAGCGACCCCCCATCAAGCACACAGGAAAGAAAAGATCCGTCATCTGAGAAGAGCAAGCCACATTGATCTGAAGTGCATGGAGACTTTCACCCATACATTTACCCCACTTTTCTTTTTCTTTCTAGAGATAGAAGAAGTATTCAACTTTATAGCATGCCTGTTCTAAGTTACAGTAGTTTGCTATTATATATACTTTTGTTATATCAAAAGAATTAGATAAAATAACAAGTCATCATGAGCCTGACCAAAACTAAATTTGAAATTCTTATTGGGTCTGGTACTTTTAAATTGTACAGATGTTTGTGCCTTTTCTTTACTTTGCTTATATTCTTATAAGCATTTTTTTAGCAGTAATTTGTACATATTTTAGAATTTGTGTATCTGCTTTGTAATAAATGTAATTTCTTTCCTTTTTGGACACTTGGATCTAAATGATGTAAAGCAAAACAGCATCAATATATGTGAGGTTGCACTAAAACATATTTTTATATGATTAAAACTGAACAGCTTTTATGTACAGCTCTGATTCTGTAATACTAATATTTATTTACTTTGTTTCATAAATTGTAAATTTTTTTCTTAATGTTGTGGATTGCTTTTCTATGTGAAGCATGGGATTTACTGTTGCGTAATTAGAACAAAATGTGTATTGTAAAACAAGATATTTAAACTAGAGTATCTTATCTTATTCTGCACTTATGCATTAGTTAAAGAAAAAAAGGATGTATCGGTCAGTTCTTAACTCTTGTAATTTTTTTTGTCTCTTGTTTGCCAGATTGACTATAACTTAAGTGCTGATTGTGATTTTAAACTGATAGTACCGTAAAGCATTAAAGTAAAACAATGTGCTATTGTGAGTTTTTTCAAAGCTTTATAAAACAGTTATAAATATATTAAAAGTATTTGGTCTTATGTGAACATGGTGATTTAAATGCTCCTTTAAAAAGCTATGGGAAAACATTCCACCTGATGTAAATACGCGCAAGTGCATAATTGGTGCTGTCTGTGTGACTCACTGGGACAGGCGAGGTTTTCTGTGTTGCACTGAGCAGGGGCACTGCTGGCTGCTGGGCAGCCGAGCCCGGCCATGGCTGGACCTGCTCCCCTGCCTCCAGCAGCAGGGTGGTGAGGCCCCGAGGGCTGCACAGGGCTGGGCGAGGAGCCGGCCCACGGGCTGGCCAAGCCCCAGCGGTCCCCTGCTCGCAAGGGCTGACCGTGGGGCATAGGTGTCATGCAGAGGTGCCCCGTTGTGCCAGAGAGGATTTTGGGGCAGGAAAAAAAGGCGTTTTCTTGCACTTGAACACCACAGCTGGTCACTCCCTGCTGTGGTACCCGGGTCAGCTTCAGGGGAGGATCCTGTCCCATCCCATCCCGTCCCACGGCTGGAGGAGCGTGGTCCTGCTGGCGAGGCAGAAAGTACCGCCACCCCAGCCTCTTCAAGGAGCGGGATTCATGGGCAAGAAAGTTGCAGTCTTCCAGAGCAGGGTCTCCATCTGGGTGAGGTTTGCTCCAGAGGAAAGTCAGGAGGAGCCTGGGCTTGTGTTTGAACATGTGTGGTGGGTTACCACTACCACCAGCAGCATGCGTGCGTGCATGCGCGCAAACACACACACACACTCAAACACGCGCATGCATGGATGAAAGAAACCAACGACCTGGATTATATTTTGTGCTAATTAGTGGATTATAAATCTGTGAAACCAAGTTTGTATACTGACTTACAGTACATTTAAGGAGTGTTCTTTAAAAAGAAATAAAAATACAGTTACATGCATGAGGTGTCTAGTTTTCATGTGTTGTTTGAATTTTCCAAGTTTACTGGCGTTCCAGTATATTGTCAGAACCTTTCATTCCCAAGCGCTGCTTTCCCGCACAAGGAGTGCTCTTCAGAACATGAGCAGCAGCAAAAAATGTCAATCATCTTTTGGCCTCCTCAGATGTTATCAAACTAAACCCGATTATTTCTCCAATAATACCATGTGGGGGCAGAACCACAGCTGGTATGTTGTCGTAATTCTAGCACGATGGCATATGATGAGCTTAAAACCATAATGGATGGTGGCTGATTCTAACCATTAAAGGTTAGTTTCTCATATCCATTGCAGTGTTCCTACCTTTATTCCAGATCATTATGTTAACCTTGCCAAGATAAGCATGTGCCATAAAACTGGCTCATCTCAGACTGGAGAAAGGAGAGGCAGTATATGTAGTTGGAGGCAACCAGCTTGTTGGATCATGCTTCCATAGAAAAAGGAGAAGACAATTATACATTTTAAATAAACAAGCCTTATCTGACAAAAGCCTCTCTCTTCTCTTCTCTGGCTGCACGGCTGTATGGAGAACAAAACGCTCTGCACAATGATCAGGTAATCAGGTAATCACAGATATTTTATTAAAAGGGAACCAGGCGACCCCAGATAGTAAATGCTCTATTAACATTGGCTTTATAAGCAACCCCCTTACTGTGGGAGTTACCTCTGCCTTATTTGATTATTTTAATTAATTTGCAGCTGCAATTTACCATCCACCTTTTCAGCCTTGGGGCATTTTTATTTTTTTATAATAATTGAGCAAGTATCACTGAAATTACATGTGATATTTTTGGGTTACAGTGGAGGAACTCTAAAGAGGTTTCATGAGGTACTTATAATCTTAATTGTATTTTCTTAATGAGTTATTGTTTATACAGTGCTGTGAAAAAAAACCATCTCCTCATGCAAGGCCTAGGCATTGATGATGACCACTTTTAATGCTTTAGAAGGGGTGTGGGGGAGGAAGGCAAACATGTTCAACAAAATTTTCTCAGGCATGAGTAGTTTTTGGAAACAACATAATGGGTACAGCAACCGGGACCAGGGACAGATGATTTTGTGAGTGCTCTGCCTGTTCCCCAGCACAACCTGCTCCCAGCCATCAGTACTAACAAGGGCCTGGGGCGGCATTTGTGCCCTTTGGGCTCAGCGCTGCTCCCAGACAAGGCTTTTGGTGTCTGGGCAGGATGTGCTGACAGCCCCTTTGAGGGTGATGAGGAGGGGGTTCCTCCAAAATACTTGGTGCGGTGGATGCACGTAGGTCTGATGGGACCGAGAAGAGTAACTTGGAGGTCTCTGAGGGAAAAGTTCTGTGTTTTTAAAGGAATTGAAAAGAAGAGATTTAACAGGGCGCTCTAGAAAACTTCAGAACCAAATGAGGATTTTTATATGCACTGTGCTATAGAATTTCTAAGTCAGGAATATAATTACCTATTATATTGTTCAAGGAGGTTATAATTTTCTATGAAGATCCATATGTCTTTTCTGTAAAGCACAAGGGAAATACAGATGCTCTGGCAAGCTTTCTTTATTCCTTTCTTGTGGAATACTGTCACCAGAGTCACTTCAGAATTTATTTGCAACAGCAAAACAGAGAGCATATCAGTCTCATATAACCGCCTGCACAATCATCTTATGAAGCTTTAGATTCCGACTCAGGGTAGTGACTCCATCACCCATTAAACACCTTTATGTGTACTTCCCCGCTTCAGGACACATTGCCAGCAGTAGATAAGAATTAGTGCCAATAAGGGACACCATTAGCTGTAACAGGCCCAAATGGAGTCAAGCACAAAAATGTCAATCCAAGGATGCTGCAGTCAGCTCCCATTTAACCCCAGCAGTACCTAGACTTACAGGGTGCTTTCTTGTTTGAGGCTGTTTCCTGCTTTTGGGCATGAGCTGAACTTCTCTCCTCAGAACTGCTTCATGCCTCTTCCCCTCCCAAGCTGACCTGGACACCAGAAACTACATATTTCTTGGCCTAGATCCTCCAAGGGACCTGCCCTACTGAGCAGGTCCTTGAAAATACCTGACAGATGATGAAATGAGGCTCCCTGTTGAAACATACTTCTGGCAAGTGCTGTCACCACCTCTTACATATTAGTCTAGTGTCTTGATCTCCCTCCCTGAGTATCAAAAAAAAAAAAAAAAACAAACCCAAATCTGTGTTGAAACTGGCTAGATCAACATCTCCAGTCTCCTAGGAGAGTCCCTTGAGTACCCCATGAGTAGTAGAAGAGCCTTTTCTTTCACTACGGTGAAGCAAAAAATCAAGATGCATTGGCTAATCAAAATTGTAGCCTATTGTCCCCAAGAAGAAAAGCTGTTTGGATGTTCCCTGTGCAGTAGGGAGAGGGCCATCTGGCAGGCCAGTGAGTAGAATGGTGTGACAGACTTTGAAGGACAGGGTCTGAGCGCAAGCAGTTCCCTGCCTGCAGCATTCTAGACAGCTTGGAGAGCACAGTTTCAAACACGCTTCCTAGTTAGCACCCAGCTCCTTTCTGGAGTGGCTGACTCTCCCGTGTCCAATGGAGTGGGGGGCAGATGACAGACTAAGAGTTCTGGGCTTCTGAGTGAGGACCAAGCCCCAAAAGTTACATGCTGAAATGCCTGAATCCTTTATTGGGTTTTGCCCTAAATAGCTCAAGGAGAACAAGCCTTATTGATTTATTCAATTGCACAGTAGAACGAGTCAGTGGGAGTTATCCTTTTCAGCTGTTTAGTCACCTCTGAAAATCCCAATCAATATTCTCTAAAGAATGTCCTTCAAGTAAGTCCAGGATGCTCAATGCAAAACCTGCACAGCACGTCATATGTTTTAGTCTAGCCACTCTTTTTGGGGAGGTCCAGTTAAATTGCCTGCATGAAAAGTCAGCAATGTGTGTACTAATTGAGTTTATTACTGTGACGATGTCCCTGTGCCCTTTTCTTATACACAGATAACATACACTAAACATGGACCCTGAGCATATGCTTACTGTAAGCTCAATTTAAGATGAAAGTGCTGCATAGTTTGACTTGTTCTGCAATTATTCTTGGGGGCTTTGCATATGCTACATCTATCACGTGTGTTTGTGCTATCTTCAATATGCCTGCTTTTACCTGGATTTGGTACCACTGATAGCACCAGGAATGCAGGAAAGAGCTTATTGCTGTGGAACACTTGGCTTTTGCCCCTATGTAATGACACATGAGCTATAATAAGCTGTTTTGTTGTATGTACATGAGTCTTTTCAAAATGGTTGTGCTTGGTGAGTAAAACTCTTTTAAAGAGTTTCTTCAATTTGTGAGTATAGATGTGCCCTGTACATATAGTTCATATGTGTAGGGCTTTATTGGGCATGTGATTGAATTTAAGCAAAAGAGAAATGTCTCTATCTTTTTATCTGCTGGACCACTGTGGAGGCAGGGTGAGATTAAACACATCCTTAGGAGCAGACTCCTGCAAGAACCATGAACCTCTGGAATCCCCATAAAGGTTGAACTGTCATTCAGGGACCGCCTGCTTTCTGTGCTGGCTGCACATGATGCCTTGGTGTCATTTTCCCTGCAGTTTTAAGAAACAGGGACAGCCTCCTATTGCACTGTGCATTGCTATACATTGTAAAATCACCTTGAACAGGCAAGCTCCTCACCTAACACACATCAAGCTAGCTCCAGTGGTGCCAGTGCACCTCTGCTGTAGAACAGCCAAGGAGTTAGGGAACCTAGCACCTCTGAGGTCTCTTCAAGCATATAAGTAACTTGCATGAGCTTGGCTTCTTGCAGGCTGGACTGCAGGCTGGTGGGAGCAATGGTAGAAGAAAACAACAGTTTTTCTGAAAAACAGTAAAAATTTCTGCTCTAGTGAGTTTCCCTGCTTTGCTGCATTGTATGAATATTCATTCTGAAGCTGACA